TGACCACTAACTACCCAGTACCTGCTTCCCACGGTCCTGGATGACAAATGTCCTTCATGTTAGTTTCAATCCTCAAATTGTTGTGGGAGCGGCAGACTAGCCGCTCACCCACGCCGCCATCTTGGTTTCTCCTCTTGTTCATAGTATTTTTTCACAATCCTTTGTATTTCGGCGGGGTCTGTTGTTATTTCTTCTCTTTCATTTCTGATTTTGTTTATCTGGGTCCTTTCTCTTTTCTTCTTGATGAACCTGACTAGAGGTTCATCCATCTTCTTTATACTTTCAAAGATCCAACTCTTGGTTTTGTTGATCTTTTGTATTGTTTCTTTGTTCTCTATGTCATTTATCTCCCTCTGATCTTTATGATTTCCTTCCTTCTGCTTACACTGGGCTTTTCTTGTCCCTCTCTTTCTAACTCTTTGAATTATAGGGTTAGGTAATTTATTACCATAGATTCTTATTTTATGCAGTAGGCTTGTAGAACTATGAACTTCCCTCTCAGACTGCTTTCACTGTGCCCCATAGATTTTGGATTGTTGTGTTTTCATTGTTGTTTGTTACCATGTTTTTAATTTCTTCCTTGATTTCTCTGTTAACCCAGTCATTGTTTAATAGCATACTGTTTAGTCTCCATGTGTTTGATTTCTTTGGATTGTTTTTATTGTAGTTGATTTCCAGTTTTATGCCACTGTGATCTGAGAAGATGCTTGATATGATTTCTATCTTCTTGAATTTGAAGAGACTTTGCCTATGTTCCAAAATACGGTCTGTCTTTGAAAATGACCCATGTGCACTTGAGAAGAATGTATATTCTGAGGCTTTGAGGTGAAATGTTCTGAAGATGTCAATTAATTCCATCTTGTCTAGTGAGTCATTTAGGATTGCTGTTTCTTTGCTGATTTTTTTTGTTTAGAGGATTTGTCCAATGATGATAGTGGGGTCTGAAAGTCTCCTACTATGAGTGTATTGCTGTCAATCTCTCCCTTGATATCCCCCATGAGTTTTTTTATTTATTTATTTTGGTGCTCCTGTATTGGGTACATATATGTTTACCAGAGTTTTTCTTCTTGTTGGATTGCTGTCTAGTATTATATATTTAGTATTATGAAGTGTCCTTCCTTATCTCTTGTTATATCCTTCACTTTGAGATCTAATTTGTCAAATATAAGTATTGCTACCCCAGTTTTTTTTTTTTCATTTCCATTCGCCTGGAAAACCTTTTTCTATCCCTTCACCCTCAGTCTGTGTACGTCTTTTTTTCCCCCTGATGTGGGTTTCTTGTAGACAGCAGATATATGGGTCTTGTTTTTTAATCCAATCCATTACCCTATGTCTTTTGATTGGGGCATTTAATTTATTTATTTTTAAAGTTATTGATAGGTACTTATTTGTCACCATTTTTATTCTTTACCCCGGTGTTCCTTCTTTGCTTCCTATGTTCTTTTTTACAGCAGACCTTTTCTTTTCTTGCATTGCTGGTTTGGTGGTTATAAATTCCCTTATTCTTTTTTTGTCTGTGAGGCTCCTGATTTCACCTTCAATTTTGATTGATAGCCCGCTGGGTACAGTATTCTTGGATTCAGACCATTTCTTTGTATGACTTTGTATATTTCATTCCATTCCCTTCTGGCCTGATGAGTTTCTGTTAAGAAATCAGTTGCTAGTCTGAGGGGGTTCCGTTGTATGTATTATAACTGTCTGTTTCTCTCTAGCTGCTTTTAAGATTCTTACTTTGTCATTGGTGTTTGCCAATTTAATTATAATGTGCCTTTCTGTCGGTCTTTTATGGTTCATTTTGCTTGGGATTCTGTGAACTTCTTGTGTTTGTGTGGGTTTTCTCTTCCCTATATCAGGGATGTTTTCTATCATTATTTCTTCAAACAGGTTTTCTATTTCTTGCTCAGTTTCCTCTCCTGGAACTCATCTTATGCACATGTTGTTTTGTTTAGTGTTGTCCCAAAGTTCCCTTAGGCACTCCTGCTATTTACCTTCTTTTTTTTTTTTTTTTTCCTAGAAGCTGCTCTAATTGGGTATTTTTTTCCCATCTTGTCTTCTATCTCACTGATGCAGTCTTCTGCTTCTGCTAGTCTATTCTTTTTTAAAAATATATATATTTTATTGATTTTTCAAAGAGAGGAAGAGAGAGGGATAGAGAGTTAGAAACATCAATGAGAGAGAATCATCGATCAGCTGCCTCTTGCACACTCCCTACTGGGGATGTGCCCGCAACCAAGGTACATGCCCTTGCCCGGAATCGAACCCAGGACCTTTCAATCCACAGGCCGATGCTCTATCCACTGAGCCAAACCGGTCCCGCTGCTAGTCTACTCTTGATGCTTCCTATTAAGTACTTTACAGTAGTGACAGTTTTCCTTTCTTCTTGGTTTTCTTCACTTCCTTCCTCTTGGTTCTTACTCATATTGTCGAATTTGTCTTCCATTCTTTTCAGCCACCTTACGATCATTTCTCTGGATTCTTTCTCTGATAGGTTGCTTGTTTCTATTTTGTTTACTTACTTTTCTGGTGATGCTGCTTTTCTTTTATATGCGGCTGTCTCTTTGCCTATCCATGATCTCTCTTCCCTGGATGTCTGGTTATGTAGTTCTCTCTCTCCTGCCTTGATTTAAAGGCACAAAGTACAACACAACCAGGTACAACACACAAGGCACTGAAATGTATTCATGATATTAATAACTTCCAATAAAGGTGACCACCAGAGAAAGGCAAATAAGAAAGAAAAGGGGAACAAACTTTATATATGGGGAGAAAACTTCATTAGAGCAGCACTAATCCCAGTAAATGCCAGCAACAAGTACCTGGAGATTAATACAGACTACAACACCAACTAATATCAAGGCAAGGGAAAACAGAAGCAAGAAACAAACAAAAACAAGCAAACAAAACAAACAAACAAAAACAATAAGCAAAACAATCTCACAAAAAAAGCATAAAAATTTGATATAATCAACATTCAAGCAAACAACAACAAAAGGATAGGGAGAAAAACAATTTTTTGGATAGTTAAGACAGCAAATTTCACCCTACTTATATATCCAATTAGATATATAAGTAGGATGAAATTTTAACAGAATAGGGAAAATCTAAAGCAGGAAAGGGGTAAGAGAAACAGGACACGAAAAGGGGAAAGGTTAGGAAGAGAGTAATGGCATAAAGGTAGAGTTGAGATAGAGTAAAACAATGCTAAAGGAAAGATAAAAATAGAATGTAGAACACTAATACCAAAGTAAACTAAAGAGAAAGTTAAAAAAATGGTAAAATAGTAATAGTAATAATACTATCTACTGAGCCAAATCGGTTTCAGCCACTTTTGATATTTTTAGTCTGTCCTTTTGCATCAGATCAAAATGTGTTGCTTTTTAGAGATCCCTTCTTGTTAGCAGCTCTGAGGACCCACATTCACAGATCACTCCAGCCCCAACAGCCATGGATTTTTCTAGGCACAGACTTCTCTGGTCCTCCAGCTCCCGCAAAGCACACGTTTCTCTTTCCCACCGGGTCAGATACCTCACCTTATCCCCAGAGACCTTTCGATGGTGGAGTGAAGAGCTCCTCTGAGTTGGCGTGTTTGCACCAATTGGGGACCGATGTTCTGGTGTTCGCAGCTATTCAGTGGTTGCTGCAGTTGTAGATTTTCAGGCTTCCAATAAGATCCACTTTCTCCTTCAAGATGGCGCAGTCTCCACATCTGAGCCCGAAGCTCTGGGCAGGGACCCAGCAGCAGTAGGAGCTGCCCAGTCAGGGGAATTTTGTCCAGCAGTCCCCCACCTCCTGGAGTTTAGCTGCCCCTTAACTTGCCAACAAACACTCCTCGTGTGATCCTTAGCTGTTCTTTCTTTCTGCTCTGGGATAAGGCTTGGAACACATCTGTCTATCCCACTACCATTTTCTGAATTGATATGTTATCTACCTTTGTATGTAGTATATTAGTCAGGGACCCATATAATGAGCCCGTTTTCTCAACTATAAATCATCTTTCCTCTGTTGATTTGAGGTACCGTTTTCCTTTTATATTTATTTCCCATACATACAGGACTCTCCATCTGAGCTTCTAATGTTAGAACTTTTTATTTTGTGTCTTTATATGAGTTAGATTAATTTTTTCTGTATAGATCATTTCCATTTTTATATGTTTCCTAGTGATCTGATGCATGGATTCATGCACATTGAAAGGGAATCTGAAGTGAGTGAATCAGAGTCAGGACTGATAGGGCCCCAGCAGCAACCTAACTCACAACTGATTCCACAAGGGATCTCTCTTCCCTCCTCACTGGGCCTGGGGTGCAGGTGAACCAGTTTTGGGGCTGACAGGGCCCCAGCAGCAACCTAACCTACTGTTTGGAGCATCTGTCCCCTGGTGGTCATTGCGCATCATAGCTACCAGTCAAAAGGTCCAGTAGGCTTTTATATATATATAGATTCTGATGTATTTATTTTATGGCATTGTAAATATCTTTTTGAAATTTATATTCCTAACTATCTTGAAGTGCAGACACAATTTTTTATTTCCAATTAGCTTCAACTTTCTTTTAGCTTTAATGATGTCGCAGGAGATTCTTTGGGGATTTCTCCATAGACAGTTATATAATATATGATGACAATTTTATTTCTTCTATTCCAATTTTTACATCTTAACAACTTTTATTTCCTTTTCTTGTGTTAATAAACTGGCTAGGATTTTTTCTACGTTTTGAGGTGGGTCATTTTATTTTGTTTTCAAATCCCCTTATTAGGTGAATTATATTGATTTTCTGATGTTAAATTAACTTTATTTCTGGAATAAATTCAACTTGGTCATGATCTTTTCTTATACATTGATGGATTCAAAAGGCTAACATTTTGTTTTAAATTTTTACATTCATGTTAATGAATATACTTTCATTTTAAAATATATTAGGAAATGTCCTCTAAGTTTTACAAATGTCCCCCAGTTTTTTATGGTATATATTTCTAATATTAATTTTTCTTATGTATATTCACAGATTAATCCAAAACTTGAGGTAACTGACTTGCAGACCTCTACTCCGCCTGTTGTAGACATCCTTTCTTTTGATTCTACCACCGTAAGTTTTCTTTGACATTCAAGTGGCATTTTGGTATTTGGCACAATCCATTTTTCTTTAAAAGAGAGGTGATAAAAAGTGGGCTAAGTAGCCTAACATTTTAGCATATTATAGAAAAACTTTATACATAAAGTCATATATACAATGTATCTACATAGCCACAAGGGGGAGCAGTCCAATTTCCTAAAAAGTCTTCATTTTGAGGACTTCAAACTCAGTCTAATCCATACACACTGTTTCATCTCCTGTCAAGGTGCTACCCAGGTGACATTTCACTTGCTGTCACAGAACAGACTTTCTTCTTTGTTAATTACCTTTCAGAGGTGTTACACTTATTTGTAGTTTCCTTAAAAGGAGTTGTTTAGTTTTGTTAATTCCTCCTGGTGGATTAAGCAGACATTCAAAAATATTCCCAATAGTTGCAATTTTGTTTGTAAAAATTCCATAAAGATAATTGATTTACTCAGTATATCCAAAGTCTTCAACAATTGAGTGTCTCAGCATAGCAATTTGAGTCTATTTGACATTGTAAGGCTAATCATTGTTGCTGTCGATTCTGTTAGTCAGTGCAACTAATTATAAGAACAAATGAGAGGAGTGGCTTGGTCTTGGTGACACTCCTGTGATGGTGTCACTGCTGAAAGATGCACTGAAATTCACAAATTCTGGTGAGTGGGATTTGGTCCCTGTAGTGAGAGAAGCAAAAACTAGGCGGTTTGGAGATGTAATGTCTCCTTAGACTACATATGGGCATTCCTGACTTAGCAGACAGTCCATACTTTGAGACTCACTCTTGCTGCCAATACCCTTCAAGCTCTGCAGTACTTCATGGCCTGAGAAGTCCAGGTGTTCTCGGTGGACTGTGCGAGGGAAGTGGTGTAACTGCTGCCTAGCAGTTGATAGCAGGGAGTTGTCCATCCTTGGATGGTAATCCACAAGTGCCAAAGTCAGCTAGTCTGTGGTTTAGGCCCCTCAGTCAGAAATGCAGTCAATGTGGGACTTATAGAGGACAATTCTGTGTAATAAACACATGACAAGTCTGCAGTTTTGTATTCTACAAAACAGAATAATAAGCCCAAAGAGTATAATTATCAATGGGAGGATAATATTAAGTTAAATTATGTGGAATTGCCATTTTGTAAGCAAAATGGGCTAATATCAGTGATTTCCCATGGTTCAACCCAATATGTAAGCATTAAAAGGAAGAAGACTCCACAGTTTCTTTGAATTGTGTGCCTGATGTTACATAAAAATAAAACAGACAAGAAAACATAGGATAAAAACTTGTTGCTATAAATTGGTTTGGGATTTGATTTATGAAATCCCATCTAGGCCTATTCTTTTATAATCTGGAAGATCACTGCACCTTGCCTGGGGGTATAGCGTGTGTGTGTGTGTGTGTGTGTGTGTGTGTGTGTGTGTGTGTGTATACACATATATGTATATGTATATAGATGTATTTAGGGAATTTTTCTGAAGGAATAGATGCTCATAAAGCATTTAGATTTTAAAAAAAATATATTTTATTGATTTTTACAGAGAGGAAGGGAGAGAGACAGAGAGCTAGAAACGTCGATGAGAGAGAAACATTGACCAGCTGCCTCTTGCACACCCCCTACTGGGGATGTGCCCACAACCAATGTACATGCCCCTCACCGGAATCAAACCCAGGACCTTTCAGTCCGCAGACCGACGCTTTACCACTGAGCCAAACTGGTTTCGACAAGCATTTAGATTTTTATAAAGAACATCTCTAAAGTGTTTTCCTTTAAATTTTTTTTCCTTTTCCTTTTTTATTTTTTTTAAAGGTTTTTTTTTTAATTGCCATCCCTCCCACATCCTCCCCTTTGGCAACCATTAGCTCATTCTCTGTATCTGTGGTCTGTTTCTGTTTTCTTTATTCATTTATTTTGTTTCATTTGGAACCGACATGTAAGTGATACCATGTAGAGTATTTGTCTTTCTCTGACATATTTCATTTAGCATAATACTGTCTAGGTCCATCCATGTTGTCACACATGGCACAATATTATTCTTTTTCATTATTGAATAATTTTTCCATTTTGTGTGTGTGCACGCATGCCAGAACTTATTTATTCATTCACCTATTGATGGGACATCTAGATTGCTTCTGATCTTGGCTGTTACTAGTAATGCTGCAGTGAATATAGGGGTGCATATATCTTTTCAAATTAGTGGTTTTATTTCTTTTTGATAAATACCCAGAAGTGGAATTTCAGGACCATATGGCCGCTTTATTTTTAATATTTTCATGAATTTCCATACTGTTTTCTGAAGTGCTGCGCTAATTTACAATCCCTCCAGCAGTGCACTCAAGGGTTCCCTTTTCCCCATATCCTCTCCAGCACTTGTTATTTATTGATTTAGTGATGATAGCCACTCTGACAGGTGTGAGGTGATAGCTCATTGTGGTTTTCATTTGCATTTCCCTAATGATTAGTGATATTGAGCATCTTCTCATATGTTTGTTGGCCATCTGTATGCCCTCTGGGTAGAAATGCCTATTCAGGTGGATTGTTGGTTTGTTTTTGGTGTCAGGTTGTATGAGTTCCTTATGTATTTTGGATATTAACCCCTTATTGGATAATCATTTGCAAATATCTTCTCACACCCAGGTTGGCTCTTCATTGTGTATATGTAATATTTTTAGCTCAGTGATAGATAATTGGTTAGAAAACTAAAATGAAATCAACTTTGAACTGTTTGCTTTCCCATTTATCTACTGGTAAGTAATTCATACTCTGTCGTCTGTGCCTTAACTGCTTTTCTTTGGCTTCTCCACAACAAATCAGACACAGTTGTGAGGGAGATTTGTCTCTGCTCTGGCATGAAGTATATTTGATTAAATATTTATGGTGTGGACTTTGCCTGTGATTATAATTTAAAGACTCAGAGAACTATTGGAATTCAATAAGAGCAGTGCTTAAAGGTGGGTTTGGTTTTTGTTATTGTGGTTATTGTTTATTTTGGGATTTGTTTGTTTTTTGAAAATAGGAAGAAAGTTTCCTTAGAAATTCATTTAATCAAGATGGGACATAAAAATATTACTCTTTAAACCTTAATTCATCAAATTTCTTTGGATAAAAGCTGGTTTGTTGTGGTATAAGAAACAGTTCGTTTCCATTTCTACTTTGGCTTAAGTTAATATTATGTGCAGGATGAGTTGAAGATCTAAGTGTACTGATATCTTATCTACACTCTGATGCCTTTTTGCTTCACAGAAGGAATTATGGCATGCTGTGTGCCAATTGGTATTTTTGTGACTTGCACATATGCCTCTGATGCCAGGCAGTAAATTTGATCCAATATTTTGGGATCAAAATAAGCTGTTACCAGTCTGCATTTTTAAAACTTTGTGTGTAAAATAGTGTTTCTATAAAGGCATATATTGGCTGTCATATAGATATAGTTTAATAATATGGATCTCAAATTTTTGAATCTTTATTGTGATTATGTTGTCACTTATATACTGATTTTTTAAAAGATTATTTAATTAAAGAATTCAGTGAATCTTTTTAATATTTTCAAATATTCAGTTATGAGACCAGCGTTTTGTCATCAAAATTGTATAAGGGCATTTTTTTTTAATATATTTTATTGATTTTTTACAGAGAGGAAGAGAGAGGAATAAAGAGTTAGAAACATCGATGAGAGAGAATCATCGATCAGCTGCCTCTTGCACACCCCCTACTGGGGATGTGCCCGAAACCATGGTACATGCCCTTGACCGGAATCGAACCCGGGACCTTTCAGTCCCCAGACTGACGCTCTACCACTGAGCCAAACCGGTTTCGGCAAAGGGCATTTATTGACATGATATAGCTACATAAGATGTTTCAGTATCCCCCCACCCCACCCAAAAGGCAAGCAGCAAAATGAGAATTCCTCCTCTGTATCCTAATATAAAGTGTTTTAAAAAATGCTGACTGGAAATAAAATTTATTTATAATAATCTGGGATTATTTAAATGTTTTTATATTTAGATAAACCTGATTCCTAAGTTTTGAAGTATTAATTTTGTTGTTTGTCCTATAAATGAAATTGACAATCTTGCCAGTATTGCTCTGATTGTCAAACACTGCAGTCTTCTCAGAGAACTGAAACAGTGTTCTCATCTTCATTCTGGCCACTGCGTAGAGAATATGAATATAATGTGCATACCTTTCTTTAGAATTAGGGACAGTATTTCAGGTCAAATGAATCTCTACAATAAATGGAGAATTTGCAATTATATCATAGAAGAATATCAGTGTCTACAGTTTTGTGTGTTTTTTTGTTTTGTTTTGTTTTGCTGTTCATCAGTGAAAATTCTTAAAGCCATACTGCATGAAAGAATTGCATGAGATGTGGATGGGACTCAAGCTGACCACCTGACCTCAAGAAATGTCCAGCCTCACCAGGCAGAAATAACAGAGTAGGAAACAAGTGACATTTTCAGTATACTATAATAGATTGCCAAGTGAATGTGATTGTCAATTGAAAGGTTGCTAAGGGAGTATTCAGAAAAGACCATTAATGGTCTGGAGGAAACAAGGACTTCCCTAGAAGAAAACCTTTGGCCAATTCTTACCCTGACCATAGGTGGGTAGACCTTTAATAGGGGCATTCCACGTGGGGACAGCAAGGTATAATTAGATGCCTCCAAAGCAATTGGGACTTGGCCAATAAGCTCAGTGGTTAGTGTTGGCCCTTGCACTGAAGATTCCCAGTCAAGGACATGTACCTCAGTTGCAGGTTAGATGTCACTCCAGTGGGGTGTGTATGGGAGGAAGCCAATTGATGTGTTTCTCCCAACTCACACACACACACACACACACACACACACATACACACACACACTCTCTCTCTCTCCCTCTCTCTTTCTCTCTCTTCCCCTCCCCCCTCACCTTCCTCCCTCCTTTCCACTCTCTCTAAAAATCAATGGAAAAAATATATATTCTGCTGAAGCCGGTTTGGCTCAGTGGTAGAGCGTCGTTCTG